TGGCTGTTACTGCCATGGATTCTCTCCCCCTCAGTCTGTTGTGGAAGTGAGTTCCTGTGGAGGAAACTGATTTTATCCCCCCATTTTCATAGAATCCTAGAATCCTTTAGGTTGGAAGGGACCCCCGAGATCATCAAGTCCAAGATTTTCTATCTGAAGATTTTCCAGGGTGAAAACAAAACAGGATCTATTCTCTTGAATTGATCAGGATGTCATAATGGGACAACCCAGCCTCCTGTGAGAGCTTTAAGTGCCCCTAATTGAAGGGAAAAAAAGCCCCAAACCCACTGAAATGTAATCAGTTAAACAGGGGGAGAAGAGAAAAATGGAAAATGACAAGTGTACCAGCTCCATTAAGTGGATGCATAAAAATGGCCACTGAGTGGTGACCTCCCTCTATGATTCAGCACTGCAGATCTCCCTGGAGATGACAGGTCCTCTTGGAAGCCACAGGGGCTTAAGTTAACTTCTGAGAGAAGAGGTTCTAAAATTATCTATAAACTCCAAAACATCCACTTCTTTACCTACCTCAAATATTTTCCAGTAGACATTTAAAAAAAATACCTTTAATATCTTTATAAGTGGTCTGGATGATGGGATCAAGTGTGTCCTGATGAATTTTGCTAATGATACCACACCAAATGTGGAAGTGGACACTTGGGAAGGGAGAACCACCCTGCAGAAGACCTGGATAAGCTGGAAGAGTGGCCTAATGAGAACCTGATGAAGTTCAACGAGGACAAATATAAGGTTTTGCACATGGGAAAACATAATCCAGGAGTGCAGGACATGCCAGGATCGACCTGGCTGGGGAGAAGCTCTATGGGAAGGTACCTTGGGGGTAGACAACAAGCTCAATATGAGCAAACAGGGTGCTGCTGCTCCAGCAAAGAAAGCCCATGGGCTGTTGGGTGGCATCAACAAGGGCATCACCAGCAGAGATTGAGGCATGAACCCACTGTACTCAGTGCTGGTCAGGCCACACCTGGAATACTGGGTTCAGTTTTGGTCCCTGCTAGAGAAAAAAGACATGGACAGGCTGGAGAGGCTCCAGAGAAGGGCCACAAAGATAATCCAAGGCCTTGGAAAGTGTCCTATGAGGAAAGGCTGAGAGAACTTGAGTCATTCAGCCTGGAGCAAAGAAGGCTCAGGGGAGACCTTGTCACCAGGATTCAAAGGGTGGCTCCGAGGAAGCTGGAGACTGCCTGTTTACAGGAGTCCTGTGGAGAAGATGATGGGTAATGGGTACAAGTTACTCCTGAGGAAGATCCCAACTGGACACGAGGAAAACTTTTCACAATCAGCCCCTGGAATGATCTCCCCAGGGCAGAGGTGGTGTGCCCAACATCGGACACGTTTCAGATTCAGCTGGACAGCCCTGCACACCCCCTGGTGCCCCTTAGGGGCCTTCCCCTTCCCTCTGGGACATACTCATCCTCGTGACAGTCCCAGGCCCTGATCTGCTGCCCTTACACTCTCCTCCAGCGTGGTGAGCTGCTCGTCGAGGCGGGCGGGGTCTGTGCCCAGGGGGAGGGTCCCTCTGCCCCCGTCCTGCCCGCCGGGATGCGCCGACTCCGCGATCAGCTCCTCGGTGGCGTTGATGACTTTCAGCACTTCTGTAGATATGTTGCAGAGAGAGACAGCAGAGTACTTCTGTTTGGTTACAAGAGCAGACAGAGAGAAACAACAGCATTAATTTAGGGCGTGGGGGAAGCCCCCTTCCCCAAGGCTGCTGCTTTAGCCACGCTAAGGCGGCGCCTGCTCACGGCAGCTCGCCAGGTACAAGGACTGTGGGGTACAACTCGAGGCCACAGCCCTTTTTCTCCCTCCCTTGCCCACATATCCCCCAGTGCTTCCACAGGCAAAATAAGACACACATGCAACTCTTCTACCACACAGCTCCTGCAGCAGGGATGGTCCAAATCCCACCCCGAAGGAGGGCAGGCGAAGATCCAGCTTTAAAACCCGAGCGAGTGAGGCGAGGCTGGTTTTGTGAGAGTGTTTTAAAGAGGTTTTAAAACACAATCTTCCTTTTTGGGTACTGGCAAACAGATGTGGGATCATCTGTCTCCACCTCTGCAGGAGCTTCAGCAGCCCTGTGAGGGCAGTGGTTCACAGAGAGCTTTGCTATGGGTTATGTGATAGCCCCAAAAAACAAAGGCTGACCTGCATGCAAACACCTGCATCCTCATTTAAAAAGAAAACAATTCAATTTACCTTTTTTTCCAATATTTATGTAATAAATTCTATCAAATACCAAGGCAAAGCATGCAGTTTTAACCATTTTTTTTTAAAAAAAGCCTTTTCATCAGTGTTCCTGACCTGTAATTTGTAATGAGCTGTCCTGATTCTGATGATTCCCACAGAGCTTTGGGCTTCAGGACAACTACTCTGATGGCAATAATATTTCTCTTGATATACCCTCAAGCATCAAGCTCAACACCCAAACCATCATGGGATGGTTTGGGTGGGAAGGGACCTTTTAAGGCCCATCTCATCCAATCCCCTGCAGGGAGCAGGGTCATGGGGAACTAGAGCAGGTTGCTCAGAGCCCTGTCAACCTGAACCAAAGCTTGTTGAAGGCAATACAAACATTGTCCCTGAATTTATGGGCTATAATTTCAGCATTGCTTTGCCTGAAAGAAATTTAAACCTGTATTTAATTTCACCCCTCAATCCTGCGAAGACTTAGGCCTGTGAATTAGGGACCCACTGAACTTCAAATTTCCCCACTAACAAAACATCTGAGGATCCAAACTGAGGAAATAAGACAATTTTGGGGTTCTCTGTAGTAAATTCTGTAGTGCAGGAAAGTACAGCTGATTAAAAATGCCTGGGTGCTCTGTAAACCTTTTATCAGCCAATCCATCAGCTGGCAGCAGAGAGGAGAAAGAACGTTCCTGTGCTTCACAGGCTGGTGGGTTTAACTGGGAAACCTCTCTTATGATCCCTTTCCCTTAATTAGCTGTTCATTTATTCTGTTAGAGAAGACTTTTACTGAAATCCTGCTTTTTTAAGCAGCATGTGCTCGATTGTTGGGCATCGATACGTTACGGCATCTCCAGCACTATCAATTCTCCAAATTACAGGAACTAATTAGACCCAGGAGATGAAAGAGGAGGAGAACAAAGCAGATACAGTGTGCCACAGCCCTGGGATCTCTTCAGCTTCTCAGCACAGCCCTGGAGAAGCAGGTCCAGGACTCTCTTCCTGCAAACAAATACCTGAAGCCCATCAACAGCCGACTGTTTTTTCCATTTATTTTCACAAGTGCCAATTAGGTTAAAATCAGATCGATAATTTTAGAGGGCAGAAGAGGAAATCAATGTTACTTTGTTTTATTATTTGCTTTTATGAGTACCCAATTCTCTATTCTATGAGTAGTGACCAAAAGAAAGGTAAAGGCCAGACACAACATTTTCTTCATCATCCTCACGGACGCGTGTTCTCCATTTCCAGAACTGCAGCCTCACTTTAGGGATTGTTATTACTTAAATTTTTTATTATCCTTTGTAGTTAGTGGTGGATTTCCAAAAAAAAAAGATTAAATTAGAAAAAGGAATTCTTACACCAGGCTGTGAGAATCCATATTGGCATTTATTACAGACCAATTGCTACAAAATGGGGGTTTGGGTTCTGTTTTTCCATTTTCTGTGATAGAAATCAAGATTTTGGGTAAAACCCCCTACTTTTCTCAACAGGTAATGGATAGGGGAAGGAAAGTTCAACAAGACAGTATAGAATAAACACCACAAAGAAATACATGGGCAGCAAAAGGAATTTTCCTTAGAGTCTATCTAAAGAGTAGATCTCCCAAACCTGAAGAGCACAAGCAATATTTCCATGCATTTAAATCCAGACTTTGTGAAAGGTTTCTGCTGAAGGATACTCAGCTCTCAGCTTTCCACCAGGGTGTATTTTAAAGAGAAGCAGGAAGAGCTTAAGAGGGAGACATAAAATCAACATGTGGGGAGTTCAAGGCTTCTCAAATTGGAAAATCTGGGTACTCAGATCATGTGTAGGTTTTTACCTCCTTTTGGAGGCACTGTCAAAAGCTGTTAAAACAGCTCATGTTCCAAACAGGACAGTTTGCAAACCTCACGGGGTACTCTGGATATAGTTATTTAATACATCAAAGTTAAAAAAAAAATAAAAAAGAAAAAGTATCCTGGAGTTTTAGTGCTTCACAATCCTCTCCCCTCCCACTCACGTCGAACTCGGGATTTACAACGTTCTGTAAAAATCCCCTAAAATTCACAGACACACGCACGCCAAGATCATCCTGGGAGGAGGACATTTCAAATTGCTCTGAAGACCTCTTGGCTGTCTGATTTATCTTGCCCTTGCAGGAGAGGTCACTGCTAACACCTGTAAGTGATTCCAAGAGGCAGCCACCCTGCCACGACGAGGTCTGTCCCATCCGTCTTGTCAAGCAACTCAGAGAGCTAATATGGATGTGACAGAGGTGGGCAGTGATCTGCTACAAATACCTGGCCCAGAAGAGCCAAGTTCTCCTCAAGGCACTGGAGACACCACCCCTCCCAAATTAAAGCACAGAACTGTTTGGGTTGGAAAAGACCTTTCAGATCCTTGAGTCCAATCGTTCTCCCAGCACTGCCAGGGCACCCATGTCCCTCACACCACATCTCCACGGCTTGGAAACCCCTCCAGGATTTAAAGATCAAAAGATCTTTAGCCTAAAAGTGAGCCCTAAGCACTCATCACCACCAAAACTGGGGAAGAAAGCTAAAATTTGCCTTGATATTTGATGGGAGACAAGTATACTACACTAACCTATCGTATTAAGGAATTACTCTCATGTGCAAGTTGAAGCCTTCCTGCTTTGACCAATGTCTCCATTTTTGGGCACTCATTTAGAAAAAAAGAAAGCTAAATTATCTTACAGAGTGAGCTATTCTTCTCCTGACATTCTCCAAAGCATGACAAATACAGTTGCTCTTTGACTGTACGTGGTAGTTCTGAATATTAGATTTTTTACCAGCAAATTCAATCTACTGTCCTAATGTAGTTACTGATGTGATCCCTAATAATTTTTAATGCTTTGTTTCTCCAGACAAGCCACCTATAATCATGAGAAAGGAAGTTATTTTCCAAGAGGTGAAATATTATGGTCCAAGCTGCAAATGGAAATAAATCTTAAATTCCAGAGAGGGTTGTGTGAGAGTATCTGTAGTGGACACAGGCTGGAGACATTGCACAAATGGAGAAACATTTTTCCTCTAAAATTATCCTTGATATTTCTACTACAGAAAACCAGGATGATGAAAATTTATAGTCTAAAACATAACCCTGAGAGTAAGGAAAAAAGAAGTGGTGGAGAGGAATGTTTTGCTGAATTAAACATCAACTTTTGATACAAAGTCACTCTTATTTCATGACTGAGAGAACGCTATGGAATTAATTTACTTACCACTAGATATAGCATAGCTATTTTAAAATATAAGCATATATTTGCTCAGGGAATAAAATGAAAATCCCTTTTAATATCTGATTCTCCTAAGATGAGACTCAAACAGCACAGAATATGAAAGCTCTGCCCACCTAGATGGATGCTAAGCAGCAGACACCAGCAGCAAAGTGAGAAAGCGCCTACTCACTGTGTACTATCTCCACAATGAATTAAGGGTTTTGCTTAGTTTTTTTTTGAAATTGGGAGCTTAGAAAGAGTCTTGAAGACCACTATGACCAGAAATATTACTGTTGAAATAAAATTTTATATTTTTTCCTTCCAAATTTCTTAATACAGGTGGAGTACATGAGAATAGGATGAGCACACCCCTCTCATCTTCTGTTCTTCTAGCTGTGATTATAAATTAATTTTTTGCCATGATTATTGACTGTGGCCAAATGGTGTGATTTTTTTTTTCAGGCTTGGTACTTCCAGGAAAACATTTTGTGTCAGAGAATTTTGCTTGGGAACTGTGGAAACCCTCAATATCACTTTATAGCATCTCTTACTACGTAAGCGATGTAAGAAGACACAGACAAAACAAAGCGTTCTCACCTGCTGCAACACAGTGGATAAAAACTGCAGCTTTAAATGAAGATCAAAAGCCTTTTGTTTTTCCTAGATAGTGGGAAAGCAGTTAAATAAAAAGGCAGAAAAGTTACATTAACAGCTACAGAGATTAACATTGATACAGGTTCAGACGTACAGAGAACTTTAGGATGAACAGCAAGGATAAAGAAACTAGCAAGCATAAAGCACCACAAAATTTAGCTCTTACATTTACTGCTGAAATATTTAAAATAAAGCAACGCCCAATTTATTTCTGACTGTAGGATTTAGAACAACAGATCTCATTAAGATGGGTATTGGAAATAACACACAAGTTTTTTAGAAAATGAAAGAGATGGGAAATAGTGATTTCCACCATCCCAAAATGAAGCAGTATGAGAAAAAGACTTTTGCAGCAGTGTTATGAACTAGAGAAGCCAGCTAGCATCAGTTTTTGGGTCCACACGTTGGCAGTTTGGCCCCTGCATGTGTTTCTAGTTACAAAAGGGTCTGCACCCCACTGCTGGCACAGTCAGAAGCTGACGGGACGTCGGAACCACGTGAGCTGGGTCAAGTAAGATGCTCTGTGCCAAAGCACTTCTGTTTGTGCAGCCCCTCCCCTGGGCCTCACTGTCCCAAAACAAACATGTAAACCCCTCCATACTACCAGTGCCAAGCCAGTGGATTCAACCTTAATCACCCTAATTGACTTAGGTCTATTTAAACTAAACCAACTGGTTTGGCCTTAAAATAATGACCTGAGTAGAGTGAGCCTGTTGGGTGTGCTGGGACAGGAGAATCATCCAGCTGAGGAGCAGCCTTGGCTCAAAACTCTTCCAGCTAGGTCTGACAGAGGCCACCTGCAAGAGCCAAGTCTCTGGGCTGCTTACAAAAGAAAACACTAACTTTTTTGGTACAGTCCATTCCCCCCCATTTTGTTACAGCACCTTACACTAATTTTCACTGATTTTCTACAACTGTATCTAAGATGGCTTTTACATTTTCTCCCTAAGTGAATAAATCTTTGGTGATCAGGCAGCTGAAGGAGACCCCCACTGCACACAGGCTGGACAGAGCTGCCTTGGCCATGCAAGCATAGAGATATCAAATCTGAGACCATCAAAGTCTCATTTACAAGTCTCCCCATAAGAAGCCAGCTGAAATCTCAGACCACAGACCTGGGAGATGCACAGTTCCTCTGGGTTAGCAGTTTAGTTTAAACTAAAACTTTATATTAGTTTAAACTAAACTTAAACTTCAGTTAGCAATTAGTTTAAAACTAACCATATACTTGACTGCTTTGTTGAACTGAGAACTTAAAACTCACTATCCCAATATGATGATTAAAGCCTCACACCTCTGTTAGAAGGAGAGGCCACTGTTTCACCTTCCTTCACCAAAATCTTTCCCCTTTGCTGTCATTCAAAGTCCTGTGCATAAATTATCTGCACTCCATAAACCTTAAAGATCACTTTTTATTGTGCTGCCCACATTCAGTTTTCAATCCTGGACTTCAGAAGGCTGCCCAGATAATTAACATCATAATAAAAGCCAGGATCCCCAAAAGATAAAGAGTTATACTGAGTGTCTTGCATATAAATATGTGGAACAGCAGCCACACTGATAAATTCCAAGCTCTTAACCCAAGAAGATGTCCCACATTGAGTTGGCCATAATAATGTCAACAGAAATCAGTAGGATTTAATTACTAAGATCTTGGTTCTAAGATTTCCTGAGCAGAATGAAATGCATAAAAGGGTTAAAAGAAATTCTTCAAGCCCACAGCAAAGAGGAAAGAACCTCAACTACTATTGAAGTTGAACTGAGTGGCTCATTTGTATATCTTCAGCGTGGAGGAGCACAAAGCAGGAGACAAAAAAGAGAAACACAAGGTTTTAACAACTCTTTTGGGTTTTATGCTATGTGGGGCAATGGGCAATAACAGCAGGGCTTGTTCTGCCTTTTAAACAGTATCTCTCTAGTTCCTGATAAAGTGGTCACAGCATTAGCACTGCTGAAATTGCCTTCCAGGATGTAATTCTGGGGTCTATCAGGAAATGTAGACCTGGCCTATTCATCTTCATGAAAGCACTAAAAGAGACAGAGAGAGGACAGAGAAGAGCAAGAGTTAAATACATCCCATTTGTCCTGCTTGCCACTCTCAGGGCCAGTGTCCTTAAGATACTTCCAAGGGGATTTACATTCACACCTAAAGTCTGGAGGAGCTGAGGCCACCTCTACCCTGAGCAGAGAAGACTCCATGTCCTTTCATTGCCCAAACAAACTTCTCAGGGCTCTGCAAGATCCACAAGACCATGAACTGCTTCTGTAGCTCAATAAGCACAAAATATTCTCTCTAAGAACAAGTCTGCTGTAGGATTATGTTTATTTTGCAGAGCTGTGATCTCCACAAAACCATTTTAGGCAGTCACCAACTTAGAAAAGTTAGAAATGATTGTGCTGAAGGTCTAAGTAGCTCCGAGTCTAAGGCAGAAAATTAGTGTGTGTTAATTAATATCCACCTAAATCCTGAACTAAACCATGAACTACCTAATTAACTCAAAAGTCAGCAGTTTCAAACTTGTATCTTAAAGGCAGCAACTCAACAGCTCAGTTTGAAGTGAGAACTGAGAACCTGTAAATGCCCAACTCTGGCCAACTCCCCACTCAAGATGTGCTGATTTTTGCCATTGCTTCAGATTTTAATATACTAAATATCCTTTTTAAAACATCAGCTCAACGTGAGGTTATGAGATTCCCAGCTCCCATTAAAAACAAAGTCCAGATTTTGAAAGGTGTAGGAATGTGAGAGTCAGATTTTTATGAGCACCAGGTACTTAATTTCCAGTGATTCAGTAAATATGGGTTTTGTAATCTTCTCCTACAGTCAGGTACACTGTAACTACAAGTTCCCTGTGCTTTAAGGTTGCTACTGTGTTGTGCAATAAACTTGTGGGAATAGAAGACTAGAGGGTAACAAAGACAAGCAGCATGGCTAAAATATAAGCAAGATGACTAAAATTCAGTGTTCAGTTTGTCTTCAGGAGCTCAGAGCAGATTGTAGGCTCTCGAGCTCTCATTTTACAGCTGTTGTATGAGTTTAGCTGTGCATGTTTGAGGTTACCACAGCCACAACTGGTGCTACACACTGTCACCTTCAGGATCTCCTTGTTTGATGTTGGCCAGCCACCCTTCCAAGGAGAAGGCACGTGTCAGGAGGTTTTAAATCACCTTGAAGGACAACTGTTGAGGACATGAATAAAAGCAGCCTGCTTGTTTCTCCATGGCTGGAGCAAGCTCTGCCATCAATTCCCCTGAAGTCATGACCATGAATATTACTGGGGTGTTTTGGTTTCTTCAGTATAGACAGAAAGAATATATACTGCAGCCATGAATGACTATTTTCTCCAGCCACAGCCAATACAGAATGAGGAACTCCAAGCATTCCCTTTTTCCTTTTGTCTTTTTTTTTTAAAAAAAAAAAAAAGAAGGAAATTTTCCTGAGAGAAAAAAAATTAATCTTTGCTTTATTTTAAATAACTGATATACAAAGGTTAAAGAAATAATAAAATTAGAGGGGGAAAAAAACAACTGGTATTTCTTTGTAGGTGCATGCAGGTGGGTAAAACACAAAACATACACGTGCCATTTTCTGTGCTCAGCTCATACAGGAGCATTTCAGAGAGTCCTGTTCACATCATTTAATTCTACACTTTAATTACACAACTGATTGTTGGGTTATACCCCAGCTAGCCTCTGTCCTGTTTAATAATTTGATAGTGCTGGTTTGTCTTGGTAAATCAAAGACAAGCCAAACTGAATGCTGCTAACAAGTGCTGCTGATAAAGCTTTTATCTGGTTTCCTCAGAATTCCTCATGTGCACCCCATGGAGGTGTTTGCCTACCTGATGATGAAGGCAATCCCACTGCTTCACAGTCCATGGCTGAATAACTCACCCAGAGAGTCACAGAATACTTACCTTTGGAAAGGACCTCTGGAGATCACTGCCTAGTCCAACACTTTTGGCTCAAAGCAGGGTCAACTAGATCAGGTTGCCCCAGGGCTGTGTCCAGTCAGATTTTGATTATCTCCAAGGATGTAAACTCTACAGTCTGCCTGGGAAACCTGTTCCAGCATCTGAGTGGCTCACAGGGAGGAACACACCCCTGAACTGAAGTTCTAGCTGCACAAGAGTTGCAGGCTCAGTAAAGGATCTTGGGGCTTTTTAAGCATCTATGTTTAATTTTCTAACCACAAGTTTCTCTTCCTGGATTCTAACTTTTTCCAACACTGTCCCCACTTCTCTACAATGACCACTTACCCTCTTTAACTCTTCTTGAATATTTCTGCCATTTTCCTCTGAGGACAAACTCTCCTTCTCGTTTTCAGGGTCTGTTCTAGGTTCTGACTCTTGTTCTTCACCAGAAGATGTTTCCTTGTCACTCATTTTAGCAGCAAGATGAAATAACCTGGACTTCAGCTCCTCTTCCATAACGTCAGGCCTGATGCTATGATGCTGATCCTCACTGCTCATATCAGTTTCTGATAAATCATCAAAATCCTACAAAGAAATTAGAAGAAGAGGATAATCACTGTACAGGCACAGAAAGGAAACCACACAGCTTCCTAGAACAGTATGATCCCTGCAGGGGAGCTAGGAGAAATCACACCAAGGGTGCTGATAAAAAACTACCATGTCTTTGCAGAGGATTGCCAATTAAACCCTTCCTTGTTGGATTATATTTGTCATTCTTCATGCTATTTCTTCATGCCTTTTACTACATGATGCTGCTAAAGTTTTTCAGCTTTCCCAGAGATCATTTAGCTAGGGGGATCATCAGCAATGATGATCATTTTCCATCACCAACCTCCTTGGAACAGAATGTTCAATCTTTAGGAGCACCTTCTGTCTTTTTACTCCTGGATTCTTCAAGGTGGGAAGTCCTCAGAGGCTCAGGGAAGTACAGTGAGTGTTACAGATTCAACCCCAAGTCCCTTAATTTGGAGGCTGAGCAGCAGCAAAGTGAAATCTTTTTGCCAGTCTGTTGAGCAGGGTGCCTGCCCCAAGAGCTGATGATGTGCAAAGGGGAATATTTCATGGAGCTGTTGCAGGAAATCTGAAAACATCTCATGGTTGTTCAAAAAACTGATGTCCTGATACACACCAATTGACTTTCTGGATCTGTGCTGATTAGGAACTAACTTCCCCTGATTTCCACTGCAGTGTGTGATGTGGCAGTGGCAGATGAACACAGCCACAAACCTCACCTCACTGAGGGAAAATCAAGTGTCTCTATGCCAGCACAAGTCCATTAACAGATAAAGAACCTTCCCCATACACACTCTAATAGCTGATAACTCAGTGTAATCTTAGCAAACAAAGAAAAGCCCTAAAATAAAGCAAGCAGCAAAGTACAGGCGTGGAGGCTGCAGAACCAAATCCATCCTGTGCTACAAACCCTTGAGAGGAAGCTCCACGCATAGAGGAAACCACATCTCAGGAATGACAAGTTTTGGAGGACACAGCTTGGTGAGGTTTGCAGGCAGTTGCTCAGCAAGAGCTGGTGGAATTTCAGGGCAGCTATTTTCCAACAAATACATCCCAGGTGCCAACCCGTGGGGCCTGGCAGTCCAGCAGTGCCCACCCCAAACCTGGCTGCAGGGCTGGAGTGAGTGGCTGGGGTCTCCTCACCAAAGCAGCAAACTCCAGATGAGGGCACTTCCTTCACTTGGAGCAATAAAGCCACTCCACTTTCCACCAGAACATACGAGCTGCAGCTGCACTGAGCAACATCTCCTCTCAAAAAGATAATGAAACCTAATATACAAACATTATTATTACTAATAATATTAATTACTAAGCTGATTAACAATAATGAAAGCAGACAGACTGGTGGTTTGAGTGGCAAAAGCAGACACCACTTGGCCAGCATTTCAAAAAAAGCCCTTTCTGAATTTTCTTTACTTTGAGGGTTGGACTAGATGACCTTTGGAGGTCCCTTCCAGCCCAGACATTCTGTGATTCTATGAATTTCTGCTGCTTGTTGGCTTTAGCCCTTACCAGGACATCTGCAAACAGGGCACCAAAGTTTCCCAGGTGTATGACTTATTTCTTATGCCAAGAATGAAGGAATTAAAAACCCCTCAATGCAACAGAGCTGGTGATGAGTCAACATTTGCTAGCTGTTGGTAAATCCTGACTTGGTGGGTTTTTTGAAGAGCATTTTCCAGCACTATTACATACTATATTTGTACTTTACAGCACTAGCAATGGCACTGATCAGTTGGAAGTGGTGTATCTGAGAAAGGCAAAGCCTGCTCATGGTTTGTGCAGCTCTTCACCTTTGCTCCTCCTCTTAGGGGGTGCTAGGAAGAAAGATGCCAGAACACCCCACCTCCCACTCCCAACCCGCCCGTCCCTGCCAGCGTGGCTTCACCAGCTTCGCCCAGCCCTTTGTGAGCAGGGGTTGGGTAACCTCAGACACAATTACCTGGCTTAGGTTCATCTGGGTGGCTGTCGTGCTGTTTGTTTCTTCACACAACTCCTCGGAGAGCACTTTGTTCTTCCTCCACCTCCTGGCTCTCTTCTCCAGATCGTAGTGAAGCTCCTCGGTCTCGCTGCTGTCCGAGCACTCCGCGCTGGTGGCCTGGGGGTTGAAGTTCACATCCAGCTCTCCGTGGAAATGCTTTTTATCCCCTCTGGCCGCGCGGCTTGGAGCTCTGCTGGGCAACCAGAGGAGCTCCCCAGGTCCTTTAGCCTCCTGGGAAGAGTTCAGCGAGGAGGTTTCCGAGTCGGAGAAGAGGGTGTGGGCGTTGGCGTACGGCCCGGAGGACGGGGGGGTCACCGCCCGGTACCGGTC